TTGAAAATTGTAGGGATCGATGTAAGAGAGGATTGTTTTTCACATGGACAATTTTATGTGGCATGCTCCAGAGTCAGTATGCCCACAAATTTAGTTATGGTATTTAGTCAAATGTAGTTTTTAGAGACATTTTGTAAATTTTGTTGTCATACATTATTATTCTTTATTATTTGATTAAGTCTGTTTGATTAAGTGGTAGGTTTTTTAACGGGCTACAAAGTGCACGGGATCAGCTAGTTATTCATAAGACAAGAGTAGTTTGTAAATCGTAAACAAAATAGATGTATACATTAAGAATGTATATTATACAACTAATATAGGTGATTAACACATATAATGTACATGCTAAACCATTTATCATGTCTTTGAATAAAATGTATAGAAAGTTGGTGTATAGAAGATCTAGTTAATAGATTTTATTTTAACAATTGAAATTTAAACCAAAATAATTGAAAATATTATCTGAATTAATCATTTAACATGGTATAAATGTCAAAACAATATTTTTAGGCCTAATTTATAGTGGTAACATGATGGTGTACATCTGCACTTTCAAATTTTACATATTACCTATACAATATGGACCTATATTAAGAATTAGACTATCGTTAATAATTTCTTATACAACATGCTTGAAGTGTATTCTTGATGTAAATCAGAACATGTTAGTATAATAATGTCTAATGTGCTAATCTTCTATAAACTGCGATTGTCTAATGTATTATTTAAAAACATATATATTCTGGCTATTGGTGGGGAGTGGCAGAAAGCGGCTTAGACAAGCTCGGACAAGGTGACTACTTACTGACTAGGGACCAGTGTTCTTGAACCATTAAAGCCATACTACTCCAATTTTATTATGAAATACAATGGAACTATTCCTGATAATAAAATAAAATAAAATCATGTTTTATAGTTGACAGATTATCTGGAATGGGTTCATTAAATTACATAAGAAAATTAATTCTTAACCAATAAACATATTTAAATATTTAAAAAGTTGTCAAAAATAACCAAGCATGAATTAAAAGTCTTTAAAATTAATAGCACATACCAGACGATTATTATTCTATTTTTATGTTACAAAATTAGTAGGAGCAACCGATCAAACATAGATAACTAGATAGATAGACATTGCATTCAATTATCTTCTATTACATTCTGAACGAAACATTTCAAATCTAAATGCACCTAAATTTAATATCCTTGCAAGAAAATTGATTTATTATATATAATGTACAATTATAGATTACACAGATCAAATACGTACAACATACTAAATTGATCATATAACCTAACCTATATCATTATAATATTCTATAATACTATGTAGTATATTATAGGGTGTGGAAATTTGTGCAATAAAAAGGTTCAACCCTAATATCTTTTTATTTTTTCACACATTTTTAACCCTTTCAGCCCGAGCCAGCAAATTATCAACGTAGCAATTTTCACCTATCCTACACATTTGTGCGTGTTCAGTTCATGTGTATCATAATAAGCATCATAATAATTTTAAATAATTTTTGTTTTTTTTTAATTTTAATTTTAATATTAATTATGCGTCGTGCAAAGTTAAGTACAAGTTTTATTGAACAAATGGCCACATTAAGTGATTCTGATTTTGAATGCGAGAGTGGAGATAATTCGGATGCCGATCGTACTTGGAAGCCCAAAACTAAACAAAATGCCCGGGAATCTGATTTTTCAGATTCAGATGGAGATTGTGGTGATCAAAGTTTACATGTTGGTAATATATCAATTATTATTCCTAATGAAATTGAAATACCAATTATGTCTGTTCCTGAACATACAATAGGTGATTCCCTACTAAAAAAATGTAGATGTAAACATTGGTTGGTCACAAAGACCATTTACTGGAACAATGTTGCCAGGATATAATACATATGGACCTCACTTACCAACTAATATTTCTTCACCCCTGACTTGTGTTCAAAAATATCTACCAGACCAACATTTTGAAAAAGCTGCATTGTACACTAATATGTACGCTTTAAATAAAATGGGTAAAAAACTTAAAACAACAGCTGGAGAAATTAAAATATTGTATGGTGTTCATGCAATGATTAGCATAATTAAGTATCCACGACTTCGTATGTACTGGAATAGAAGTTACGGTTTGAATTATATTTCTCAAGCTATAACTAGGGACAGATTTTTGATTTTACGTACTTGTCTACACTATGTTGATATAAATAACCGTCCAACTGATAATAATAGTAAATTCTACAAATTGTCGACCAAGTTCGTAACACTTGTAGGAGTATACCACGTTCGGTTGGCTGTTATTCAATCGACGAGCAAATGATACCTTTTACAGGTCGATGTTTCAATAAGCAGTACGTAGAAAACAAACCTCGACCCACAGGTTTGAAAAATGTTGTTATTACAACGACCAGAGGTTAAGTTTTAGACTTTGAAATATATCAAGGAGCTGAAACACCGTTTCAGGATAAAACGTTGTTACTAGGACCTGCGGTTGTCATTCATTTATCTCAAACTATCCCCGAAGGATCAGTTTTATTTTTTGATCGATATTTTACTACTGTGTCGTTAATGGATCGTTTGATAAACAAAAAAATAATGGCTATAGGTATAATTATGTCAAACCTGCTAAAAAATGTTCATTTTAGTCAAGACAAAAAGTTTGAAAGAGGTGCCTGGGAAGACTTCACTAGAAGTGATAAAAAAATAACAGCAGTTAAATGGAAAAATAGCAAATGTGTTACTTTACTATCTAATATAACAGGAGCAGAACCACATGTTACGGTAAAGAAGTGTAGTAAGACAGAAAACAAGGAAATTGAAGTTCCTTGTCCAGCTATTGTAAAATCATATAATCAATATATGGGTGTAGTTGACGTATGTGATCAACAGATTGAATGTTATCGAACATGGGTAAAAACTAAAAAATGGACCCTAAAAGAGGCATTACATTTTATGGATTTAAGTATAGTGAATGCATGGAAGATCCAATCACATGGAATCCATGTGAAGATACTGAAAAAATGCGACTACCTAAAAAAGAAATCTAGTTTTCATACAAATAAATAAAATATAGTCATATTTAATAGATTTTTTTAAACTAAAAATTAACTCAGTATAGGTACTGTTTTTTATAAGTTTAAAATTAAAAATTAACAAATATTGTTAAAGGCGAGATGACTTATTTTTGTTTTGTTTTTTATGTTTATAAAAAAATTTAATTGATACACATTTAAGAAATAAAAGTGTAATTAATTTGTTGTATAAAAATAAGTTATTTTAATAATTATTACAATTATTGATACCTAACCTACCCAAATGTGCTGGAATGTTTTCTGCTAACCTAATCTTTAAATAATATTTCTAATAATTGTTTACAGGTCTACAATACTATAATGATGTATATACAAAATATTTAAGTATTATAAGCACTCGATATATCTTAGGTCTTTATGGCAATATTGATTTACCTACACGAATGTGTAGGATGGTACCAAAGTTGTATTATTATATAAATAATCTAATGCTATTAAGTGTACTACATTATCATACACAAAAGTGTAAGTTAGAGCTGAAAGGGTTAAGCCACTTAGGCTCTGAAGACGATAATGTTTAAGATATGTGAGTTTTTACTTCTTTGGATCATTTGTTCATCAGATTTTTCCACTAAACACATGAATATTACATTAAATAAAAGTACAAACATATTTTGTTCAAACATTTGATTTTTCTAATTCAAAAATTAGTATTAAAATACATAATTAGCTTGCTATCGTTGATTATTATAACAGTAATCGGGAAGTGGATTAAAATTTAGTTGTCCCGTGCTCATAGGCATGTTTACGTAATGTGCCACTGCAATTTTCGAGTTTTAAGTCAGATGAGTTACAACTTTCATTTTTTTTAAATGTATTTTATGAATTGTTATAATAACTTTTTCATTAAAAAGATATATTCGACAAAATTAATTACCTAAGTACTTTATTTTATTAAGAACGTGTACTGTCAAATGTATTTCCCAACTTAACCCGTGACTTGATTAGTATCTGGGCATAAAATCCAGGGGCTCTTAATAAAGAATACTTGTGGAGTTAAATTTAAACTTTAAAGGCACTGAAAATACTGATAATTATTCATTTTAAATAAATTATACAGACTTTTTGGGAAGGGGCTTTAAAAAATATGGCCTTGGGTGTAAAGGGAATTTCTTGGGTTCATTAAGATAGTGCATACCATTAGCTGGGTTGCCACTGTGGACGAAGACATATTACCACGCCTATGTCCGTGTTTAAATTGGTACCTAATTACGAAGACGTAAAAATGTACCAATAATATGTGTTACCTGAATAGTTAGTGAGTTAAGTGTAATTTAATTTGGATAATTGACATCATATTATGTTGATATATATTGTCACAAGAGATAGAAATTAAAAAAAGGTATGCGACTCTCTATCTGCTTTCCAATACTTAAACACTGATAATTAGAATACCTAGACTAAAGAATTAGATAATACATGTTCATGAATAAAAAATGTACAATATTTCAATGTTATACCTCTAAGAAAATGTCGTTCGCCATTTTCGACGCTTCGATAAACTTTACATCATTTATTTTTTCGTCTTCCTTATTAGCCCGCCATACACGATAGGATATTTTGACGGATTTGGTCTGACGGATTAAATCCTTAGGACCTCGATGGATTTGGTCCGTCGGATCAGGTCCTAAGTTGTGCCCACTAACGTGAAAATAAAGATCCTTTGATTGAAACGGATCGGATCTTTAAAAGGACCCGGCCCGTTCATGTATGGAGTAATTTCCGGTAGTTTCCATAGGATTTGATCCGTAGGACTAGATCCACTGATCTTTTAGCAAGTCTTAAAAGACCACGGTTTTTTAAGTTGTGTAACTTGGTTAAAACTTTAAGTAAACGTTTTCAAACGAAATAATAATAAAAAAAAAATTTAATAATTAAATAACGTGCCTGTTACTTACGATGGATACCAAAATTAGGACAAGTATGAACAAAAAAAAAATTATTGCTGCAGTTGGTCTAGTCGCTGTACATAACTTTATGTCTAAACGAAAAAATAGAACAAAATGGGTTAAGAATTGGATCGCCAATAGAAATATATTTGGTCATATGCCACTACTCCGTGAATTGAATGCCAACGAACCAAACGATTTTACAAATTATTTAAGAATGTCAGCATCAGATTTTAATAATTTATTAGGTAAGTAATATTTACACGTACGTCACAACCAGTGGTGTATTTAAAGGGATGAATCCCCTTTCGGCCATCCCACCCGAAGACCGAAATTTGGTATTCTCTGGTATGTAACCTTCAGTATGACATTTGTATGACACTATGACCATCCACATACTATTTGTATGCCACTTGAAATAGTTATAAAAAAAATTAGATGGATGGGTTGGCGAGATGTCACCCCAGCAAAAGTACTAAAAAAAAATTTGAAACCTCTTTTTTTACCAACCTTATCAGGAAACAAGTTCACGGGTCCAGCCCGGGATTTTGCCTAATTTTTAGTAGTGGGTTAAAAGTTGCTAAATATTGGCACTAGTTTTGAGTCTAAATGTGAAAGTTGAGAGCCAACTTGTGGTGACAGCCCACCCCTCTAATTTTTTTTTATAACTCAATTTGAAGTGGCATACAAATGGGGTGGATGGTCATACTCACATAAATACATAGAAATGTCATAATGAAGGATACATACAAGAGAAAATTCATATATCAAATTTCGATATGGGTGGGCTGGTGTGAAGTAGGTACGTGATATTAACTGTAATTTAAAAAAAAAATTATTTAAACAATAATCAAAATTCTACAAATTATTATTAATTAAGATTTAATTTTATTTAAGATTTACTTCGACCACATATATCTAAACAAGACACAGTAATGAGACAAGCAATACCATCCGAAGAACGACTTATAGCAACATTAAGATTTTTAGCCACTGGACGTTCGTATGAAGATTTGAAATTCAGTACAGGAATCGCAGCCCAAACATTGGGTTATATAATACCAGAAACCTGTAAAGCTATATTTGATGTTCTGAAAAAAGATTATCTGATATAAAAAAAAGTAACAAAAACAATATTCTACTTTATACCTATATAATTATAATAAAGAGTAGGTATTTAAATAAACTCAACAGTTAACAACCTAAATGACATATTTTCTTAGTATAAAAAAA